AATGCTCGGTTGCAAATATCACGAATCTTTTTTAAAATATTCACCAATATTACAATACGCCATACCGAATATAATTATCATACCAAATTCAATTTTATAAATATAAAAAAAATGCCAAATTTAAAAAATACCTTCAGAAATGTCCATACACAATAAAAAAATTATAATTATGAAGATTATCAAAATTATAGAAATTATTAAAATAATGAAAGCATTGAAATTATTAGTTTTCCAAGTCTCTAATATCATCTCTCATTACTTCCAAATAGATATCGTTGAACTTAAGCAGATCCTCCGGCACTATAATATCAACAAGTTTTATTATACTACTATGGAACAATCTGAAAAATAATAAAGACAAGAATAAATTGAGTGGCAATTCTCAGATTTTTTGGTGACAATATGGAAATTTCGGGGAATTTTTGGGAAATTCTTGTCGGTTTCTGTACACCTCTACCCGAATTCGTATGTAAACTTCTACAACTGTGGAAACTCCCGGGCTCAGCTGAGGAAAGCGAACATATATTCCTACTCCAACAATGTATAGGAAACTCCTGAGCTCAGCAGCTGAGGAAAGCGAACATATATTCGTCCAACACTGTATAGGAAACTCCTGAGCTCAGCAGCTGAGGAAAGCGAACATATATTCCTCCAACACTGAATTTTCATTTGTGAATAATGAATCAATCCAAACGATGTTGAAAATCACTATCATTTTTCCAAGATATGAATTGGAATTTCTTTTTCCGAAAGAAGAAAAATAAATTTCCTTTCATTTTACGAAAAACAAATTTAATTATTGACAAATTCTCCCTCGAAATCCAATTAAGTATCTGCAATAAACTCACCTCGCTAGAATTCCTATTTCTCTCAGCGTCCTTTTGCAGTCCACCAAATCGTCGAAAATATATTCCGTTTTCTTGATGGCAACCAGCCTATGAGTATCCTGAACCATGCGAGAGATTAGTTTCATGATGGTAACCACCCGCTTATGTTTCGACATTTACGAGAAATAGAAATTTCAAATATAAAATGCGAAAGTATTTATCAGCGTTGTATGCTCCACATTCCCCGTGCATCCCTGAGCGTCAAGCTAAGGGACAATGATTCTGTGCAAGTGTCTTCAGAAAAAGCCTACAGTACCATGGATTCATATCGTATGTATAAATCGTTCCAGAATTATCGTCGTAATAATCGTTTGGGCATTATTATACTATTCAGAAACGATGGTACTCCAGAGAATCAGCAACTCTAAAAACACTACTATCGAGAATCGAACCCACAACCTTCCGGTACCTGGTCACATGCCTCACTGTACTGGCAAACGAGACAACAAATGGAATGGGTTCCAAATGCAATCGATTATCTGGGTGCGCGCTATTTGTAACAGCTTCCCCCCCCGAAAGAGAGTAGGTACAAATAGTGAGCAGCCACAACATATAACATGCTTACATATTGACATGCATACGAATAAGATAAATATATTCTTCATTAGTGTGAAGTAATTATGGCTTCAGATATATGGTTATCCGCTTGAGAATGATGCTCAAGTAATGGTTAGAAGTATGATTAATGATGATGATGATGATGATGATGATGATGATGATTAATGGTTTTTATCATGAGAGGTAGAATTGAAGAGAAATGCATATAAACTTGGGTTGTATCAAAATTGTGATTGAGTATTACAAATGATTATGCAAATAATCAAGATGATAAATGTGAGTATCTTGTGTGACACAAAGGATCTGATGAGTAATTAAGACAAGATAATAGTGATGATATATATGATTTAGACATATTAAAGATTGATATATTGGTAGATATTTATCAGAATAGTAGAATTAAAACTCACATAACTTAAAGGGGTGTATTGTATAGTATTGTATGGTGAAGAAGGCATCGTATATCGTAAGTATAGCATGTGATGAAAAGTATGAATAATAAGTGATTGATATTAATGAGTAGATAGAAGAATACATTAACAGTGGAATAGTGCAACAAATCAACAAAGCAACAAATCATAGTATATTATCATGACAACAATCTTTACAGTTTTTTTCTTTTTATTTTATTTTTATTTTTTTTATTTTTTTTTATTTTTATTTTTTTTTATTTTTTTTTGTTTTTTTTAACTTTCTTTTACATTTCTTTTACATTTCTTTTACATTTCTTTTGAATTTCTTTTAGAACAATAACCAATATAAAACATAGAGTGATGTAGATAAACATGAATGAGAATGTATTATTCTGAGTCAGATGAATCAAATGGTAGATCAAGATAAAACCTTCTCTTCAAATGTCGACTTGAGTGGGTAGTACCATTATCCAAAGTGTACCTATTTGAGCCAGCTTGAGCAGTGACTCTGAATGGACCTTCGAATTTTGGACTTCGCTTATTCTTATCAGAAGTTGCTATAATTTTGACAAATACCTCATCTCCAGGTTTTAGTGGAGTATTCATAGTAGGTAGTCGTTGACGGGATTTTGATAATTGTTGAAGTCTTGCTGAATACCAAGTCGTAGATACAGTAGAACCATCTTGTGGATGCATAGCTGCAGTACCCAGAAGCGGATCAGGTGGAGTATGTAAATGTATAAGTTGATAAGGAGATATACCAGTAGGTTGTCGAGCACGGGTATTTAGAGCATAAGTAACCTCGTTGCAAACATTAGACCATGTAGTAGCATCTAGTGTATCCCACGATAGGTTATGCTCCTGAACTTTGATCTTAATGAGAGTAGTCAAGTCCCTCATGAATCTTTCGCTTTGACCATTTGCTTGTGGACAATAGATAGGAGAAAATAACCACTTGCTACTAGTTGTAGATGAAGATGTAGTAGTAGGATTGTTAGATGAAGTATCATAAGCAATAGTTGGTGAAAATAGCTTTGAGGCAGAGACATAGATACTTCCATTGTCACTTAGAATGTAGTGAGGTGTGATACCATAGGAATATTTAACCTTGTTGATGAGGTCGATAACTGTGGTAGATGTTGGTGCAGAGACAGTAGGGGCTGTAACTAAGTAACATGATAGACGATCGCATAAAATAGTCACATAGAATTTATTGCGACTGTAGAATGGTCCTGTAGTATCCATACTGACATACTCAAAGGGTATGTTTGGTAGCTGTGGTTCCCGAACTTCGTCAAGTAGTTTATTGTCATTTGGTTGAACTTTGTAGATTTGACAGTAATGGCAAGTAGGAACTACACGTTTTATATCTTGAGCTTTGGTCTTCCAAACAAAATTTTGTAACCTCAATTTAGTACCGAATTGCCCATCATGTCCTTGTAGGTGATAATACAATATTAATAGCGTATTCAGTTTTGGGTGATCATCTGTGACGTATAGACCTTCTTGGTTTGGGTGCAAGTTGGTAAGGTAGGTAGTGATTTTGCTCTCGAGGTTATCAGCGTCAATCTGTTGTACTAAGGTCCTTGGTTCAGCCGGAGGTACTTGTTGTGGAGTTTCTTGTGTAGTGACAAAAGTAGGTGTACTCTTGTTTTGCTTGCTGAATTGACCGTTATTGTTCGTAGGTTCATCAGAATGGTTTGCTTTTACAGGAAGTTGAGGAACTAGAGGTAGTGCTGGCACTGATGTTGATGACGAAGAGGATGAGGATGTGGTAGGTTGCTTGTTGTCATCGGTAGTGACCGTAGTTAATGGCATAGAATGAACAGTCTGACGAGTAGATGCTTGGAGTAGAGGGTGAGACCTAGAATGATCTGGAGTTACCGGAGTTGTAGGAGCGCGTTGTGCTTGACGTCGAACTTTTACACGATTACCAATAGTTGAATCGTCTTCTAGAAGTCGTTTAGCCATCATACTCGGATGTAGGTCATCATCAGTAGGAGTAGAAACGTCAATGTCTTCACTCTCGTTAGTCGACTTCCAATAAGTTGCTAATAAAGTCTCGAGTAGAGTATTACGGGTAAGGATATCTGCAGCATTCTGAGAAGTTTGGATGTATCGAATTTCTAATGGTCCTAGTAATTGAAGATGAGTCAGTAGAGCGAGATAATAATTCTGTTGGATAGGATTACTCTTAACACGATGTGTTCGAATAATTTTATTACACGTCACATTGTCATTACGAATAGTCACATTCGATAGAAGTTGTTTACCTGTGTAATGCTCAAAAGTTTT